CATGAAAAAATGAAACTCATAAAACTCAAATATATCTTCAGTCATGAAATGGATTATTCTGAACTTATAAGAGATTATCAATGTTAAGAACTGTTTCGCCTTTTATTCTAGTTGAGTTGCTTGATTTTTATGCTTGAAAAACATGTTGAAAAATATAAAACCTCATTGTCATTATACAAAAAAAGGAAAAGAAAAGTTTCACTGTCATCACTGCGCGAATATTAATATTCATATTCATTTTTAAAAAAATCCTTGTTAATCATGACCAAAACAAATACCAAAGCAAGCAAATATAAAAACAACAACATAAAGTCCACAAGAAACTAGCATTCCAACAGCACAAGCTAATTGTGCTTTAAGTAATGGTAATTTATCATAGGGTGTAGTAGGACATGTTCTTGAGGAAATTGTACCTTGCGATATAGCTGTAGCACAATCATCAAGAACACCTGAAAAATTACTTGATAATGATGGAATACCACGAACTGCACAACATAATTGATCACCCAAATAACATTTGCAAAGTTGATTAATAAAAAGTTGATCAAAATAAATCATCACACAAGCCAATATACCACTAAGAACTAATTGATAAAATTAAATATTTAATAAAATAAATCGAAAAAAGAAAAACTATTGTTACTTACTGTTCAGAATAAGAACATAAGTTGCATAACAACGACCTCGACAACAGCAAGCTTTAAAAATAAAAATAAATAGAATAATTGAAAGAATTTTTGAAAAAAAACTAATTACTAATAAAAAGCATCCAAAGAAATGTAATGATAAAAATAATACCAGCCCAAAGTCCGATCCATATTGTACCATGAGCAAGATCAATATAATCAGAACCTAATTCTAAACCAATAATAGCAGCAGTTAATACCAATTGAACAATGCCTAGAATGGCTGTAATCCATCGAGGAAATCGTTCTTTAAAACCCATTATATTTGCTTTTATTTGAATATTTCAACCTTTTTTGCGAATAAAATTATTTTTGCAGATCAGTAGACAAACGTAAGTGAACAAACTAAAAGTAAACTAATCAACAATTGATGCTTACATATATATATATATGAAATATTCTTCGAGAGTAGAAAAAATTGAAGAGAGAAATGCAGCCCACCTTTTTTTCTCTAGAAAAAAAAACATAATACATATAAAAGCAGGACATCTCATAAGTCAGACACCGAATGATGTTTGTTGATCGGAATAGAGCGAGAGAGAAAAACACTTAACTAGAGTAAAAATAATACTGTAATGATCAAATCTTTGATTTTTTTTTCTTTCATTCCTCTTGCATTGCTATTGCCTGTTGCTTTAAAACTTCAGTAACAATATTAACCGTTGTTTGAGTAAACTTCAATTTTTTTTTTCATTAAATCACTTGCATCCCTGCCTGACTCAAATAATTATAGATTCGGAATTTGAAAAGCTTCCATTATTGATCTTAGACAACTTTTGTTTTTATTTTTTTAAATATGAGTATTTTTTTCTTTATATAACGAGAATTTTCACAGAGCCCTCTTCTAATAGCAATGATTCATTTTCCTACAGGTATTACATAGTACTTTAGTGAAAACCTGAAATGGATTTGAGTTTCTGTTGAAACTTGCCGAATCTATTGAACTCTTAATCTGTATATTTGCTAGAGGTGCTCAACGACCTCAAGTTTTTGAAAGAGTGATGTTTTTTGAATTTTGTCTTGAAACTATCTCCACTTAAAGATGTCCATATATAGTAGCTTATATGAAGAGTTTTAGCATTTGTACACTTCATATCTGAGAGATGTGAACTTTTCAAAATACTCTTTTCTTATTCATTATGTTTTGAAAAGATCATAGCTCGGAGATATAAAGTCTTGAAACGATGAAACTCTTCGTACAAACCACTGTATGTGAGATTTTTAAATTGAGGCAGTTTCAAAGTAAAATTCAAAAACACGATTTTTTCGAATAAACTAGAGTCCTAAAGGTGCCTCTAGCAAATAAAAATATTAAAAATTCAATAGTTTTGCCAAGTTTCAATAGAAACTCAAATCGTTGTAGGATTTTTCATAAAAATACAATGTAGTATCTATAAGCAAAAAATCAAATGAAATGAGAAGAGGACATTCGGAGATGTTCCCTCGCAGATAAAAAAGAAAAAGATTGGAAATGAGTATTGTCTATGATGGTTTATTAAGTAGTTTTCTACGTTCATCAAATATATAGACACCATTTATTTTGTCAATTGAAACATTTTATATTTAACAAATTGTTTAAGATTTTCTAATCCATCAACGCTCCGACGAAAATATTGTATAAATAGTTGAATCATGATATTCATCATCCATTCCACGAAATATAGTAACAAGTACACGATTATAAACATCAGTGTCACATGAAAAGCGGTTAAAAAAACCTGTCAAAAAATGTTTTTATAAATCAACTATATTACCAAATTCTTGTTTACGAATAGAAATAACTTCAAGTTCAGTTAGAATTTGTAATGATGAAAATGCTTTTTGAATATTTAGCCATTTTTGTTTTGAATAGGGTTAGAGACTTATCAAA